CTGGACTACTGCAACGCTCTCTACATGGGGCTCCCCTTGAGGAGCACTCGGAGGCTCCAGTTAGTCCAGAATGCAGCCGCGCGAGCGGTGATGGGAGCTACTCGTCGCTCCCATGTAACGCCGCTGCTGCGCGAACTGCACTGGCTACCGGTGGCCTTTCGAGTGCGCTTCAAGGTGTTGATTATCATCTTTAAAGCGCGCCATGGCATCGGACCTGGTTATCTCCGAGACCGCCTTCTGCCACAGATTGCCTCTCATCGGCCGGTACGCTCCCACAGAGAGGGTCTCCTCAGGGTGCCGTCAGCCAGACAGTGCCGGCTGGCGACCCCCAGGGGGAGGGCCTTCTCTATTGGAGCCCCCTCCCTATGGAACGAACTACCCCCAGAGATCCGGGTCATTCCGGATCTCCCCTCCTTCCGCCGCGCCCTCAAGACATGGCTATTCCAGCTAGCGGGGCTGGCCTGAGGGGTATTTTAGATTGGATTTTAATTTGATTTTATATTGGGTGTTAACAAAATTTTAAATGAAATGGCAAAATTAATATTTCTTTTAATTATATTTTAAAATGGTGTTTGTAGGGTCTTTATCTGTTTTTAGCTTGCTGTAAGCTGCCCTGGGTCCGCCAGGAGAAGGGCGGGGTATAAATCTAATAAAATCACAAAATCACAAAAATCAGGGAAGGAGGAAGGGACTACTCCTCCTCTCCTAAGCTTCAAAGCACAATTGGCTTCCCAAGGGCGCCACAATCCTCACGAAAGCGGGGGAGAAGCAAAGGAGCGAGAAAGCTCGCGGCAGGCTCGAAGGAGCACCTGTCAGTGTTGGTGACGAGAAATTCCCCACAAACCCAGGGAAGGGGTGGAGAAAAGGAGCCCTCTTTGGGAGGAAACCACCACCTTCTTCTCCTTGGCTTTGCACTCTTCTGTTCCTCGGCAGCTGGGCTGCCAAGACTCTGCTGGCTGGAACTTCCTTTCCTTCCCTCCCTCTTGGTCTCTTCCTCCTTCCCTCCCTCTCCCATTGTCCCTTCCTTCCTTCCTTCCTTCCTTCCTTCCTTTCCTTCGCCTCCCTCTTTGTCCCTCCTTCCCTCCCTCTTTCCCCTTGGCCCTTCCTTCCTTCCCTCTTGTCCAGGATCGGGGCGAGCCTTTACAGCTGATCCACGCTTTTGCAGAACAGCCCAGCCCTTGCTAATTTAGCAGAAGCGCGAATCAGCTGTAGCCCGGCGCTGATCCTGGAGCTTCTGCTAACCTAGCAAGCAGCATGTCTTTCGGCGAAGCTGAGCAAGTGAGCTGGGCGGAGCTCTCCTCTGTCTCTGCCTGTGCACAGGCAGGTTTGCCGGCAGCAAAGCCCCCAGCCACGCTGGCAGCCTATCCACCTCCCCTTGTCCCTTCCTGGGCACAGAGGGGGGAGGAAGGAAGGAATGAAGAGGGAGGAAAGGAAGGGACAATGCTAGAAAACATGCTGCTTGCTAATTTAGCAGAAGTGCGAATCAGCTGTAGCCCGGCGCTGATCCTGGAGCTTCTGCTAACTTAGCAAGCAGCGTGTCTTTCGGTGAAGCTGAGCAAGTGAACTGGGCGGAGCTCTCCTCTGTCTCTGCCTGTGCACAGTCAGGTTTGCCGGCAGCAAAGCCCCCAGCCACGCTGGCAGCCTATCCACCTCCCCTTGTCCCTTCCTGGGCATGGAGGGGGGGAGGAAGGAAGGGACGAAGAGGGAGGGAAGGAAGGGACAATGAGAGAGGAAAGGAAGGAAGAAATAATGGAAGGGAGGGAAGGAAGGAAGGGACAAAGAGGGAAGGAAGGAAGGAAGGAACAAGGGGAGAGAGGGAGGGAAGGAGGAAGAGACTAAGAGGGGGGAAGGAAAGGAAGGAAAGAAGGAAGGAACGAACAAGGGGAGAGAGGGAGGGAAGGAGGAAGAGACTAAGAGCGGGGAAGGAAAGGAAGGAAAGAAGGAAGGAAGGGACAAGGGGAGAGAAGGGAGGGAAGGAAGGCAGGCACCCACCCCAGTCCCATCCCAGAGACCCACAGATTCCCCCCACAGGCACTCTGCAACCTGAGTGATCAGCTGGCCACGTCCCTGGCCATTGATCATGTGACCCTGGGACACTGTGAACATCATAAGTATGAATCAGTTGTCAAGCATCCAAATGTAAATCATATGACCCTGGGGTGCTGCAACAATCATAAGTGTGAAAAATGATCATAATTCGCTTTTTCAGTGCTGTTGTAACTTCAAACAGTCACTAAGCGAATTGTTGTAAGTTGAGGACTACCTATACTTTCCCATTTTTTCCTTTTTTTTTTGGTCAAGTGTTTGATACCCCCCCGCCCAGCTGGATGGGGGGTTGGGGGTCACCACAACATGAGGAACTGTATTAAAGGGTCGCGGCATTAGGAAGGTTGAGAACCACTGTTCTAGAAGCTGTAGAGAGGGCAGATAAATGATGTGCTGCTGTATCTATCAATCTAGATTTAGTTTTATCTGAAACCCCAGACTAAATAAAATATTTCTGATTTTGATAAGAGTCTAAACTGGGGCTGGTTGAGCAGTTCAGCTAAACCTCTAGACTCCCACTTTTCTCCCATTTTATGTACACTCATGTTCTTAATTGTTAGATTCAAACAGAGATTGATGTTCCCAGAAAAACGTCAGAAAAGCCTACAATATATACAAGGGATATAAGATTAAGTTCAAACTTGGGATGATACAAAGATGAAACCTAGAGCTCTTCACCTATTCTTGAAGACTGAAGGCTATTGTTCTGATTTGCAGCATTAGGCTACTCCCGAGTATAATTGCTTGAACCAAGTCCTTCTCTTTGTATCTAAGAGATTGGGAAGGGTGGATTGCTTAACTCTACAGAATTGCCATTATTCCTTTTGTCTGGGTAACTAAGACTCTGGTTCAAAGTTTGAATTACCATTGTCACAGTCACAAGTATTGGGGTCTGATGTTACCTCTCAAGAACTTCTGGGCCCAGAATTATTAGTATTCCGAGTACCTTCTTTTGATCCTCTTTACTTGAGAATTGTTTCTCTATCAAGAACATAATAGCAGATGGAGCTTTGGGATGTATCTTCTGGAGAATTAATAAGAAAGAGTATCTTTTTTCCTCTCTCCATAACAACTATTCTATGAACAGGCAACTCCTTCATGGTAACCATTGTGTGACAACATCCACAATATGCTCCAAAAAATGCCAAATATGCCAACTGATTGAAAAGGTTGCCTACTTTTGTGTCTTTATTTAAGAATTAAATTTCAGAGACTTTTCAATCCTGCTTTTTTTACTTGCCACTGACTCCCTCTCATTTATGACTCATTTTTTGAAATATGTAGGAAGGATTGACATAGCCTCCTTTGTATAACAGAATACATTTTCATAAAGATCTATATATAAGAAACTATTTTTCCCTCATCAGAAGAGAGAATATATTTAGAGAATCTGAGTTTTTTCAGTTGAATAGTTTAAATATTCCATAATTTTCTATCTTTTGGAAATAGAAAAGAGCATATAAAGAATGGACATGTTCTTTGATCCTAATTATAGTTAACATAATAATTATAAAATCAGGTCTTTAACACTAAAACATTTTTTTTGAGTTAAGTCATTACTCTGCGGTTTGAACTACAATTTTAGAGGAAGTTTTTTTTTCTATACTTTATTAATTCGAGTTTTACAAAGCACCTAAAAACTAACAAACTAATAAATACAGCAGTAAAAAGGAAAAGAAAAAGTGCTGAAAGAAAAAAAATAGATAGTTCCTGTTTCCTTTCCATCAAATAGAAATACATTTACAGAATTATTCCTTACTCAATGATTCCAAAAATCATTTCTCTAATCCATTTTTCCTTATCATCAAAACCATAAATCAAAGATGTTTTTTCCCATTTCATAGAAAAAGTCTATGAAGAGTTTTCATTTAATCAAAATTATAGTTGGTGTTTTTCCCTAATCAAAGAGGTTAATTTAGCCATCTCTACCTTCATTTAATCAGTAGTGTTGAGCCTTATCACTTTTTGAACATATAATAGTATTGCTGCAATTGTTATAGAGATAATTAACAAAAAATTGGGTGCCTGGCTTTTCTATTTAAACTACTTACAAATTGTATCAAAGCATTTTCTTCAAAAGTAAAAAATAAAACTAGAGTAAATAATATTTCCTTATCCACTGCAACCTTTTGTATCAAGGAGTCTTTGCTGCAAAAGGAAATCTCTCTTCAATTGTAACTGATTATTTCCTTAAGTGATTAAGAGATGAGGAGAATAAGAACGTGAAGTCCAAGCTCCTAGTAGCTCAACTTGCAATCTGGCTGCAGAAAATTTTCCATTTCTGCAGTTTAGTTAGAAGGAACTCCTGCCCAGAACCCATGTTGATCTCTAGATCTCCCTTTGATCCAGAGAGATAAAAAGCAAGCAGAAATCACTTTCCAGCTGGTTTTCAAAGGCTGCAGCAGCTCTCCTCACTTTGGGGAGCATCAGACTGTCATTCCACAATTGAAGCAACTCCTAAAAGATAGTCATCCTAATAGGCATAGACTGTTCCATATAAAATATTCACCCACATCACAATCCATTTCACTGTGTCAATCCAGTGAAGATCCCCTTTCCCTTCAAAGATGCATATACAAGTACATGCACAGATAGCATTTTGAGCAATTAATAAAAATGGAAAGCTTATAACTTCACTGAACTATACTTCTCTATCCAGTATAGGCTATTTTCAAAACAGAGAATGGGGCCTGGATATGGGGGACCTGAGGACTCCTCCAAATCCCCTAATTGCACTTCATGCTGTTTGCACGTACAGTAACAATTCACAGTTGGAAGAAAAACTGCAAATCTACTTACCCTTTCCAAATTCTACACACAGGAGTGTTGCAGAGCTGGTAGACTGAGCACTACTTTTATTCCTTGTAACTGCATTTACTAAATATAATATTTCATTGGGGAAACATACCAGATATATACAAGATATATAAAAGCATTTCAAATCTGTTATATTCTGGGTTTCTTGCTCCTATCATTCAAGTCTACTGGAGGTGTCTAATTCTTCTGAAAAGGTGGACCTGAATTTTCATTCACCTAATGGTTGCTAAATGTATTATCAGTTGATCTCTTAGTACGACACTGATGAGGTATCGTCATCATTTGCCACATATTTACTTGCTAAGTTGGAAAAAATAGTGTAACAATTTCCTTATCCTTCAAGAGCTGGTAAATTATTGTCTCTTAGCTTCATAATCAACATGTCTTATTTTCCTTTCTAACTTGTTATATCTATTCCTTAACATTTACTCCTCTTATATTCAAAGTCACAGCCTTCCATATTTCATGGTTCTCACCAGACAGACCCAAAGATATTAACGTGTTACCCATCATGGTTTTGATAAACTCTATGGTCCCTGGATCCCTGAATAAAAGATATAGATTTAAAATCCAACTAGGATACAAAATTCCAGATATAGATTTAAAATCCAACTAGGTTACAAAATCATTTTTCCGTCTCTATCTTCAATTGTGTTAAATTGATCACCTGTGATAGTCTAATAATGAACAGATCCCCTAGAAGTGTCTGTCCAAATTGAATATTTGTATAATTCTTGTGTATAATACCAAGAACTTTGTGTTACTTCTTCGTCAATGGGAAAATTTGTTGGCAATTGATATCAACTGTCTGAATAGTCTTCTAAGTGACATTCTTAGTCTTGGCATGTTATCCTCCTTTCTAGTTTTTTAGACTTTTTAATTAATTCTTTGTGATTTGTTTATATCCAAACCTTTAATACTCCGAACATAGTGATAGTACACTATTTTTGATAAGTTTTCCATGTACTTTTTATAATTAACTTGTGTTTTATCAATTTCATTATTTTATCTTGAATTTTGCCTTGTTTATATGCTTCATTATTGATCTCCAAATTTTATTCCATGAATTCAATTAGAAATAACTAATCACATTTCCAGTTTTCCAATAGATCTAGAGTAACTTTAGGATAAGCAGAACTAAATGCTAGATAAATAAATATTTTCCTCAATGGTTGTCATCACTGATTTCAGTTTACAGTATACTGAAAGGTAGATTTACTGTGAAATTAAATTAGCAACTCTTCAAAGATGTACTTTCTCATTAATGTTATCCTGACTGATTATGTCATCTCCTAATAATATTTCAAATCAATTATGTGATGAAAGTTAAACAGGTCAAATGTGTGTTTAATTTTTAGATGTTTATACTTCACCATGATTTACTTTTCAGCATGGTCAAAATAAAACCAAATTTGATGTTAGCTCATTTGATTAAATCACTCAAGTGATAAATTACTTCACTGATTTATAAGTACTCATATTCAATGAACAACACACACATTACTATTTATAAGTTCCTCCAGGTTTGTAGTTTTTAGAAGTTTATCCCACAATACACTTTAATTTTCAGTGATACTTGAGACAATGATAATTCATATTTACCTTCCATCTTTTTCTGCAGGGCCATCATCGGTTATAGTTTTGATAAATATACCTAACTTCTCAAAGCCTGTATCTACTCCAATTCCCATTCCAATAATAGTGATACCAAATCCTTGTACATCTGAAAAACAAATTGAATAAAGCTAATCAACTACAGGAATAATCCTGAACTTTATTTTTAATTGATTTTAAATTTTGTGCACAAAAATACATACAAATACATATAAATATTTATAGCTCAGAACTGAATTGTGGAATCCTTGGTGCTCTCTGAGCTTGTTGGCTTTCTTGCAGATGTTTCATTACAAAACTAGGTAACATCATCAGTGCTAGTTTATACTTATACACATACAATGGTGATTCTATGGATCACCTGTGAATTTTTCAAACTTACTTCACTGCTCACTTTTTACTTTGACCCTATAAACAATTTACAAAATATGGATTCTAATACAGGACTCAGCAGCCAAGTACCCCAATTTTTATCTGTACATTGTGAGAATTGTTTCAGGAAAGTTATCTCATTACAAAGTATAAATTCATTTCAAAGAGGTTGGCACAGTTATTTTTCAGTTAGACAACAATAGCAACTATATGCTTACACCTCTTCTGCTGCAATGTCAAAGCTCCCAGTAATCGTTTGCAAGCATTAGAGAGTCTTCCTCACTACAGAGAAGTCACTGATTTCTCTATGTGCCATCAAGTTAGTATCAACACTTAATCACTATGCTGATAAGATTTTCTCTAAAATGAACTGTCCCAATATGGTCCTTCAGATCTTCCAATGGCACACCCACTGCTGCTGTAATTGAATCCACCCATCTTGGCACTGGTTGTTCACGTTTGTGTTTCCTTCCAATTTCCCCAGCATTATAAACTTATCAAAAAACCCTCTGGCAATATTGCCTAAGATAGTCTTACGTTTTCAATATACAGATATTTAGTAGTAGGGCCAAATTGGGATTAAGAGTATTCTTTACAGAAGATATACTTAACTACATTAGCTACAGATAACTTATAAAATTGGTTTGCAGCAGAATAAATGAGATAGGAGAATAAAATTATTCCCTTAAAAATAGAGAAAAATAAAAGATTAAAATGTATCTGTTATAAAATAAATGAAGAACAAAAAGGAATGGAAAAAATGGAGCACAGTAGCGAAATGACTGTTATTAGGATGGCAGACAGTGTTCTGATGGCAGGGTATCTGATTTTTTTATGTATTTTATTAGATTTATACTGTGCCTTTCCTCCAGAAGCCCCAGAAAGTATATCTCTCATCTGGTCTGTCTGTCAAGACAATCAATCACTCCATTTTTTAATTTATTGAAGCAAACACTTTTAAAATGTGGGATTGTAATTGCTCTGGAGACATCCTGCCCTTTGCTGATGACAAAATCCTCGCACTTGTTGGAGATGGAACTTCACTTAAGATTTTGAACTGAACAGAGTGAGTTGACACTTTCCTTGCCTCATTTTAAAAACTTTAACTGTCCCTTTTCACATCAACTTTGAACTTTAGTGTTGGTCAATCCATTCAGGTAGGCAAAGAAGTAGACTTACACGGCCACCCCTCTTACATACAATAACCCTGAGCAACGCACAGTGACACAATAAAACATAACATATAATTACTGTACCAACACCAAAATAATTCCTAGTGATGCAAAACAAGATTTGTCTGTATCTGAACCTACTGTGATGAAATGTAGTACAAAGTCACAGGAGGGAGGAGGCCTTTCCAAGAAGCAAACAGACAGCTCAGCAGGGAATCTCTGGTATGAAGTAAAAGAGCCAGAGCAGAAACCCACCCCACCCCAAATCTTTCACAGGACATATCTAATAGTTATGCAAATTATGCTTTAATCTGGCAAGATTCCCATCTGTAGAAGATCAACAATGAAGAAATTGTTCTGGAGTAAATCCTTGTGCCGTTTTTGATTCCTTGCCCTGACAGTTACAACCTCATTTTAGCCCAATACTTTGAGCAGCATGTATACACTAAAGCTTTCCAGAAGGTTAAAGGAATGAGAACCCTCCTTGATCTCAAGTGGGCAGCTCTTTTACAGGGCAAGAGCAACTCTGGAGAAGACCTGCTTTCTAAGTCTTACTAGATGACAACATTTATGGAAAGTGTCCTGTATCACGTTCACTCTATACAACTTAGTGGAAAAAAGCATTCAGTGGAAAAGATATATTCAGAGAGAAGTCTCTAATTCTAATGTACAATTATTCTTAAATTGTTTATCTTCTAGAAAATCTATCACTACTAGCCCTTGTCTTAGTTCTTTTGATTTCCTTCCTGGAAATGGGAATTCAAGCATGGGGCTTAAGCCCGACATTTCTAAAGACAAAGATTCACTAGTGTCTCAATGGTTATCTTATCATCACTTAATAATTTATAACTTTTGGGATGCATGCTAACAAAATACCCCATCTCTTTATTTAAGCATATTTAATTTTGTTAATAGTATGTACAATTTTTTTTAATTTATATCTCAAGGTTTTCATAATACTGCACTCAGTTAAGCTTCTTAAAAATTACACTGAAGCCAATGAGTTTTAAGTGCTATGTGCACAGGATTAAAACTCATATGAATTAACTCTCTTGCAAAAATGAAAAACTCATGAAATTATGTCTATAAATTATAGTATAGATTACTCATTACAGATTCAAGGAACAATATACAGTTATTTTTGTATTCAAATGCCACTTTTTTTTAAGTGCATATCTGAGCAGCACTTCATATATTAAACTCCTCGCTATGACAATTTCAGAATATATACCTTTTTCAATGTCTATTGGGAAAAGATCCAACTTTTCCACACGTTTTTCTAATTCATACTCTGCAGATGACGATATTGGATCAACTGATTCATTTTTCCGGTCATATTCTTCATCAGAGTATGTGTTAAAAACCTAAAAAGAGATTGTAATCAAAGTCAGTCAAATTCGAAGGCCCACTACACCAGTTCTCCCATTAAACCAGGCAAAAATGACTATTTCCATGAAGTGCATGGGAACTCATCAAAGATTCAGAATTTCTACTATTGAAAACACCGGGGTAGACCAAATTATTCTTTTGTTAAACCCCCTCTAATGAAAATAATGATAAGTAAAACTGAAGCATCTTAATCTATTTATACATTAAGATGCTTGATTAATGGAGCAAATCTTTATCATTCATCCACATGGAGTTCAAATTCTGAAAATGACAAAGTACAAAATACGTGGATTTGAGGTAAAAAGGCATAGAGGTTCCAAGTGATAACCAAAAACCAGTCACAGTTTCTTAGCATGACTACTTTCATTATTGCTACCCTTTCTAAGTAGGCCAAGTCAGGAATCAGACACCAGATGAATGCTGGAATTCTATTGTTGTTGAGTATAATACCAAAATCTTGAAAGCTTTCAAGTTTTTTCCTCTGCCCCTTCTTGCATCATAAAGAATTAAGGTGGAAATATTTAGAATCTCTTTGTGATGCTCCATCCCTGCTCAGGACTTGAATGTCGTTTACTTTTTCCTTAGTTATAATTTAATAGTATTGGCAATGATTCTTGCATTCCTTTACCAACTACAGGTAGTTCTTGATGTACAACAGCTTGTTTAGTGACCAATGGCATTGAAAAAAGTAACTCGTGACCATTTTTCACACTTATGACTCTTGCAGCATACCCATGGTCACATGACCAAAATTCAGATGCTTGGCAACTGGTTCATATTTAGGACAGTTGTCCTAAATATGAACCAGTTGCCAAGCATCTGAGTGTCCCTATGTCATGTGATCACCTTTTGCAACCTTCTGACAAGCAAAGTGAATGGGGAAGCCAGAGTCACTTAGCAATCATGTTACTAACTTAGCAACCACAGTGACTCACTTAACAACTGTGTCAAGAAAGATCATAAAATGAGAAAAACGCAGTTAAAAATTATCTCGCTTAGCAATAGAAATTTTGGACTCAATTGTGGTTGTATGTTAAAGACTACCTGTATATTTGCAATCATCCACAATTAAATAACAAGTATGTCAAGAAAACCTTACAATGCTATTGGAGATATAAAGAAAATGCACTCCTCATTCAAGATGGTCTTCTGAGAAATAGAAAGTATACTCGGATTAACAATTACAATAGCACTAAAATAGAAAATATACTTCTTTTAACAGCATAACTGCTAAAAGAATTACAGTTTTCTCTTTTATTTGAATTAATTCATTTGACAGTTGTTTTGAGTATAAATTAAGTGTTTTGGCTACATAACTGAATATTTTATTCTTTATTTTATCATTTTATCCTGTTGAATTTATAATAAGATCATATTCTAGAAAGACCATACTTGTCTTGGAAGAAATAAAATTCTTGTATTTTGCTTAAAATAACCAATAAGCTGATGTTTTAAAATTTTTAATGAAATCAACATAACTGATTAAAATGCTAATTTTATTGCATCTATCTAAGAAAAAAATTAAAAAATTATCTTTTCCTTCTACAAAATAATTTCAGTTTGCTGAAAAGAGTTTATCATGTTTGTTTCATCTACATGCTAACTAGGATTCAGATATATATTTCAGGATGACAAAAATGCTTTAAATACTAACAATACTTTTCAATAATAGATCAATACAGTGAAATGTTGTAAACTACTTTAATTTGTAATTAATTATATAGTTAACTTGATATATGTCTTAGTCATTTAAAGCAAGTATTGGAAATCATCAGCCAGTTTGTAAAGGTTAAGAGGATAGGAGGCAAAAAATCCTGCAGTGCCTTTGGCAAGTCTTGTTGTCAAGGAAACAGATTTATGCTGTACTATTTTACAGTTATCTCCAAAAGAGCATCAATATGATCCTGAAAAGGAGGAAGATTAAAATAACAATCTTATTTATTTTTCCAAAAAAGTTTTATTGTTTTGCAATAAAAAACAATTAAACATAAGTAAACACAATAGGAATTATAAGCCCCCCACCCCCACCCCCCACCCCGACTTCCCAAACCAAATCCCAGGATAATATTCATATAAAAGTAAACATATACTAATATCTCTAACTCCGCAATATATCTTAATACACAAAAAAATAAAAAAGTAAACAAAATCATAATAAAGAAAAGTCTAAAAAACCTAAATTCTATTCTACCACATTATACTTCCACAATTAAAATACAAAAAATCTAGAAACCTAAATTATATTCTACCACACCATGTTTCTTCTGAATATAAACAACCCATAATAACAATCTTATTTTAAAGGTAGGGGATTTTGGCTTGAATTGAATTTGGCTTGAATTGAGTTTGGGTTTGGTCTTTCAGGTACATGAGTTCATTTATTTGGAATTAAAAAAAAAATATTGCACACAAACAGTTTTTGCTGGATTTATCCCCAAAGATACCAGATTTATAGTGCAGTCCTATAGAATTGTATACAAAAATTAAGGTCATCAGGATCACTATATCCTTTTTTTCTAGGTAAGGTGCTAAAAGCAAGTGGTTATTGATTACTCCATACATCCCTGGATGTTTAGAAATCTGTTTCAATCCAATCAGGACCTATCTTTAGCATGAAAGATCTTTTACCAAGAAGGGAAAGAGTGAGGAACTACAACCCTATTCATTTTCTCTGATCTCTTGCCAGCTCTCGAGAGCTTTCTGAGCTCAACTGTAATAATCATACAGAGGAAGTACAAATAGTATCTCCTATAAGGAATAATTACTCCCAAAACATGTGGGGAATGATGTCTTTTCTACTAAATGTTTCTTACTTTAGTTCCAGGAGATTGTGGACAGGAAGCCAAAAGAGGCCACACTAGCCAAATTAGCAATCATCCAGTTTATCTCTTCCCTCTTCTCCACCTCCCCTGAATCACATGTGGCTAATTCTCTTGCCTGTTTATTAACCTTGTCCATGCCTTGACAATAGATAATTAACTTCATCTCTCATATCTACTGGTCAGGACTCTAGCTTGAGTTTTCTTCAACCTAACGAAAACATTTCATGACAGTAGAGAAAATTACTGATGGAAAGTCAATGATGATAATGATGAGCCATCAAGTCGTTTCTGACTCTGGTGACCACTGTATGAAATGTGACTTAAAATATATTTATGTACCTGAGCTGCAATTTGTATTACAACATGTCTATCCCATTCAAATGCATAAATGTTAGTAAGTTAGGTGAGAATATGGCTCACCCCCATCTCCCTAGGGGAGGGGTGGAAGGCACTGAATTATTTCTAATTCTATCTATATTATAACTTATATTACACGTAATTTAATGTTTACTGTTGATGTGGTAGTTGCAAATAACAATTTAAAAATAAATTTAAGCGAAGACTTAAATGTGACACTATGTAGGCCTGATGCTGACCTTTAGCTTCGTGACTTGATCAATTCTCTTTAAGCTGATAAACATTTTCTTACTGACTTGAAACAAAAGCATTTTTTCTCTACCTACATAAAGGGCAAACCATTTGGCATCCAGCAAGGACTGTTTTCTCCTAACAAACTCTCAAACTCAGTTAAAAAAAAAAGACCGTGAACTTCTATGAGCTTTTATAAACTTCTATATTATGCCATTTTTACATACACACTCATATTTACAAACATAAAAGCTAATAAATAAATGAGATTAAAGATTTTTGTAGTCAAAATGGCAGAGTAAGTTTCTTCTTCTATAAGAAATCTCCAAGTGTCAGGCAAGTAATTGCTCATTTTTACAAAGTAAATTTAGTCCAATTGCACCTGACAAAGGAGCTAATTCTAACTGACTTAGAAGTATTTTCTTCCTCCTAATTACAATTTCTTAAATCTTGCTCTTTTTGCTGTTAACACAATGAGTAATAAGCTAACAAAATGCAAAACTTTTTTTTATTTGTAAATGTCAGTAGAAATCAGTGATTCAAAATTAAGAAAGCTTCTATTTTAAGCACAGTCTAGCTCAGTGGTGGCGAACCTATGGCACGTGTGCCAGAGGCGGCACTCAGAGCCCTCTCTGTTGGCATGCATGCCACCGCCGCTAGCAGGAGCCCTGCCCAGCACAAAGGAGGCGAAGCGGCCAACTAGCAAGCTCGAGTAGAGGTGGTAGAGCAGAGATCACCAACGATTGTTGATTATGGACTGGAAGAAAAGGGAGGGGGAAGCATTTTACATGTGTGCATGCGCTCATGGGGCTGTGCGCTGCAAATGGGGTGGAGCTAATGCCTGCGTGATACTCACTAGCCCTGCCCCATTCTTGCATGGTGCAGCACCTTTTATCTGCACCCCGTGGTGCGGTGGCCATTTTTGCGCCTTGCAGTACGGTAGCCCATTTTTGCGCCCCCGGTTTTTGTGTGCCAGAGGCAGCACTCAGAGATGCCTCCCTGCCCCCCCCAAGGGCACCACAATGCTGATGCGGCCCTGGCACTTTGTGATAAATAAGTGGGTTTGGGGTTGCGGTTTGGGCACTCGGTCTCTAAAAGGTTCGCCATCACTGGTCTAGCTTCATAATGGTTCCAAAGGCAATAAGCGGGGCAAAAAAAAGGAAGTGATACAAGCCAAACATAGTTTATCTAGGAGAGGTGCCTAGCTGGTATAGCTCCATCAGCTGCAAATACAGTATAATGCAGAAAAAAAGATTAAACAGCAAACAGAACGTCACAGAAGTGCATAATAATGTAAGCTGTCTAAACAAAGCACAAGGTTTAAATGTTTTTTAAATAGTTACATATAACTGAGCATTTCCCTACTTTTCTTCTTTTCATTAATTTCAGGAAAGGTACTCAAAGGTCAATCAACAAAGTAAAATGTTGAATAACTGCTCTGTTCATGCTGACATAATCAATGTTTCATCTTATTTTATTATTCTGAAAATTAAATGATACTGAAAATGCAAAATTTAGAATCCATTCTAGAATAGCTGGATAGGTTTAAGTCCCTAATTTCAGCA